GGAGCGGCGAGCCGGGCTGGAGCATCGACCCCGACGGGCACCGCCTGGGCTTCGAGGCACGTGAATGGGTTTGTGCGGCTTGGACGGCAAACGCTGCCCTTTTTCCTTGTAAAAAATGAAATTTCGTCGCTCTCCTCTCCCAAGAGGATGCGTCCGTGGGCTAGAAAAGCAGGAACTTGGGATCGAGTCTGAGCGTGGCTCTTCCCAGAGCTGTTTGGAGCGTTGTGGTAATTCTGGCTGATTGCAAATGACTTTGGGATGACGCTTGTGCTTTTGCCCTTTTCCTTGCAGACTCCGGGCATGCCTGTCCCGCAGTATCCGTACGGAGAAGCCGGAGCCATCCCGCAGGGCTCCGTGCCGCAGCCCCGGCCCCAGGAGGAGCCGTGGGCTCCCTGCGCGCTGTACGGGATGCGGTACTCGGCACACGGGAATCCCTTCGTGTCCGAATCCCGTCCGTCCTGGAGCAGCAGCGGGATCCCTCCTTGTCCTCTCTCACATGACCCGAAGGTAACGGTCGGTCTCAGTGCTGCGTCCTGGCTCTTAAATCCTTCTGCTTTCCTCAAAAGCTGGTTTGTCCCCTGGGAATGCCCCTTTCGTTGGCTTCTGTTAGCATGGAAACAAAGCAGAAGTTCTCCTGAATTCGGCCAGTGAAATCTTGAGTCACTGGAGAGCAAGATTCAGAGCTGGAATTGCAGAAAGGTGCTGGAGATAACAGATTTGCCCAGGCAGGGTCTGAAATGGGTTAGAAATGGGTCTCTCTGGCCAAATACGTCTCTGCTGTCAGAAATCCCCCCGGTGAAGAGGTGCGTGCCCCATGTTCCTTTTTGGGGCTCTTTGCAGAAGGTTGCTAGGACGTAGCACTGTGACATTGGGGCGCATGATGCTCTAGAAAACTGAGTCCCTTTCTGCCCCGCTCTCCTCAGCCTCCTGCCTCCCTTGGGCTCTCCTTGCTCAATGCAGGATGAGAGAGAAAACCTGCGATTTGGGGCAATGCACTTAAAGATTTTTTCTCTTCTGGTTGCAGGATTCTGCTTATGAGCAACCGGAGCAGAGCGGCGCAAACCCGCAGAGCCACTATCCCGATGTCAACCACCAGCACCTGGGGACGATGAGCGAGCAGAAGCCACCTCTGCTCAATGCCAAAGCGTCCCCATCCGTCCCCAAAGTGCACTACAGCGCCCAGCCCCACATGTATGGGGCTCGGAAGCCTTTGGATGGCCACCAGGAGGCAGCTTTTAGAGCTGGGGACCCGTCCTCAACAAATTCCGCAGCTATCCCGCCCGAGATCCAGAGAATCCTGCGCGTTATGGTCAGAGCAGCTCGAGCAAGAGGTGGATGAATTGGTAGGAAAAAAGACAGAGAAATCCTACCGGCTTCTGGAGGAGATGTTGACCAAGTTGCTGCTGGAACTGGATTCCATAGAGACTGGTGGTCAGGACAGTGTTCGGCAGGCGAGGAAGGAAGCTGTCCACAGAATTCAGGCCATTCTGGAAAAACTGGAAAGAAAAGGCTTGTGAAAACGTATCGGTCATATAGCCAGTCCTTGAGGCCCCAAAGAGTTTGAGTTCTGTGAAATCTCAGCTCTTAAGCACTATTGACAATGAAAAAGCAATAAACGGTCACTTAGAAACACACGGAGATAGCCCGGCCCCAGCAAATAAATTGCCTATGGACAAATGAAGAGAGGATGGAAGCAGCCACCGAGTTTGGGGTATGGAAAAGCGGCACCGATTGAAGTTCTCTACCACTGTGGAGGCCTCTGTGGGTGTCCACGTGCTTTTCATCGGCAGGAGGAAACCGGATTGTACAGAGTAAAGTTCCCGATACCCGACCCAATCCATAGGCACCTCCTGGAGCCACAACAGGTCTCTAAATGGCAGGAATGTGCGGCAGATTGTGCCCCAAGGGCCCTGCGGTGACAACAAGGCTCCGGGCTGCTCCCGAGCTGCTGTCTGTGTTTTCAGCTGCCGTCCCTGCCATGGACACGGCTGCCGGGTGCCCCGGGCTCCCTTGGCTTGTCAGGGCGCTCGAGGGGCCGCGAGAAGGGACGCTGGCCCGGCCGTGTCACCCCTCTGCTGCCAAGAGGGGGGTTTGTATGGAAATAGGAACACGGACTGCAGCTCCGCCACGGAAAGAGACCAGCACAAACGGGAGCAACGCGAGAGAGCAGCCCTGAACAGCAGGATGTTTGGAAATGCTTTTTTGGTTCCCTCGGGTGAAATTCCGCTCTTTAATTGTCATGTCCTCTGTATCCCGCTGCAAATTCCGTGCTCGCTGGCTCCGCGTGATACGCGGGCAGGGAGGAGCCCGCTCTGCCATTAGCCTGCTGGTCCCAACGTGTTAAGTGAGTCATTAGCGTGCGCCACAAGATAATAAACCCTGACAACTTTGAAATGTCATTTTGTAATGAAGGTGTCTCCAGGTGGCTTTTCTTCATAGAGAAACCGGGTGTGCGAGGAGCTGGCCTGGGATTTGGCTCCAGGAAGGTCTGTCCCAGCCGTGGATGGTTGGGAATGGATGCGGTGGGGTTTGTGCCACTGACCTTTGTGTCCACTTGGATGTCCCGAGCCTTGGGAATGTCCCGGGACCCATAAATTGCTCTTAGATTTTGTGCTCCTGCCAGGCTGAGCGAGCCGGGCTTTG